TCACACTGCTCATACAACATACACAAGACAGTCAGCAAACACGAGTCACCGCAATATCCCTGGTTCGAATGCCGCGTTCCAAAGTTTTCTCCTTCAACTCATTGGCATGCGGCATTTGAAGCACGGATCTCATGCTGACTCGCGTTCAAATTCATATGCAAACTGCCTTTTGTTTGATGTCTAATCTCACTGCTAATACCCCTGTCAGAAGGCGTCCTAAAGGTCCTTTTCACTAAGCTCCTTTATAAAACCGGCCAATCAGCTCGCGATGTTGGGTGCGCAGGTGCCCTACTGCGTGCGCTGGTTCGCCGATTTTATAAAGGAGCTTGCTCTAAGGGCCTTTAAAATACCCGTCTGACAGGGGTATAAGCAGTGAGATTTGTAGCTTCAGGCTACAAATCTCCCTTGTTCGAGACCGATTCATCGACGACGGCATGTAAAATATGGGGCAAACAGCTGTGTTGCTACGGCAATGCCGTGGCAACATGCTTGTTTGCTCTATAGTTCTATGGCGTCGTTCGTTAACTGAGCTTCCTATTCATGATGAAAATTACCCGAGACTGTGGCAAAAAGGGAAACTTAGTAGAAGAAAAAAGACGCAGGAAATGGATCGTCTCAATAGCCGAGAGACTGAGGGAACATTTTGTGGTCACGCCTATTTCCGTTACATTTCGCTCCACGTACGGAGAATACGGACGCCGCATTCTTTCCCTTATAACCCCCTTTTTGGCGCTACTTCATAGGATCCAGTTACTTTAGTGGGACTCGGCCATTATTAAAAGCACGCGCCAAACAATCGTCTCAGAAAGGAGGGTTTTGAAGAAAACAGCCTTCGCTGTGAGGAAATATTTCCGGAAATCGGTGCTCTTTTTCTGTAACCAATTTTGTAATATTTTTACCGGCGGATGTTTATGTGTGTTTTTCAAACTGTGGTCCGGCTAGATACCATGTCACCGACAGTTTAAGGAACACAGGGCGTGGCGATTTCCGAGCATATTATTGTCGCTCCGCAAACAAAAGCAACTTTTAGCAAACCGTTACCGTGTTCCGCGTATCGCACTATGGGAGCCTGTAGGGAGTTGTAGTAGATCGTTTTTCTCCTCCTCTACAGTATCCGTAAAGAAAACGCCGCAGCTGTGCATGCGCGCCGCCAGCCTTCTCTGCAGTTCAAGGTCTTGTGGCGGATTACGGAGCGCTATCCGGGTGCTTAGCGGGCTGTGGAAACGGCCTACTACATTCCTTTTGAAGCATACTTTTAAGCGCGCTCCCGAATGGCACAGAGACCGCGGGGCGCGCGCTTAAAAGCAGGCTTCGAAGGCTCCAGTAGCGCGGTACGCGGAACACGGTAACGGTATGCTAAAAGTCCTACCAGCACGCGGAATACGGTAACGGTTTACAATTAATACGCCGAAGAAGTAATCGCAAAACAATATATCTTGTTTACACTATGGACTGGTTTCAATCGAATCTTATAAAAGCGAATTCTGCAAAGACCAAACTGGTCTGTTGTAGAAACCCGGTTAAGCAAGTCGAACTTTCAGTTCCGATTGAACTACACAATTTTAAATGCAGATCGTGCAATTGTGAAAGTCTTGAATATGTACAAACGGCCAAATATCTCCGAATATATTTTGACAGTGATTTGGCCTGGAACGCACACATGGCACACTCATGCAAAATATTAAGAAGCGTGTCATGCTCTCTCTATAATATTAAAATGTTTCTTCCTTTCTCCGTTTGTAAAACTTTAGCGCATGCTCTCGCGTATAGTTATTTACGATATGGTATAACCCTTTTTTCAGGATGCTCTCTTTCTTGGCGCAATAGAATTAATTGCTTACTAAAAAGCGTTTTGAAAAGTGTTTATTTCAATAGGCAAGATATCACGAGTGACGATATGTTTCATAAAATCAATTTGCCGTCCTTATGGGGCTTTTTAGAGAAACGGTGGTCCTCCGATATTTTTGGACCTCTGATTTCAAAACTCCCTACATTCAACAGCGTCCAATGAGGCCATCACTTACGATTTGATACACCCCGTATCAGGACCAAATATGGTGAAATAACACGGATGTATTATGTACCACAAGTGTTTAACGACCTGCCTGATAATATAATGCATTTAACGTAAAAACAAAAGCTAAAAAAATCACTTAGAAACCTCGAACAGTGAAATGAACGTTCCTGTTGTCTTTTTCGCCTTTAGTTTTTTGTGTTTTTTTTTTTTTTGTTTTGTTTTACGCGACATGGTATGCATTACTGAGATCTCAGTGTTATTATTGTTAATCTACCTATGGTCCAGTAATACTGGTACTTTAAGGATTATATTGTTCTGTTAGAGCGCAAATTGTTTTTGTTTTTTTTTCTCTCTCATTGTTGTTCTTTTTGTCAACTGCCGAGCCAGGCACACAAGCACCTGAGGCTTCACCCGGCTCGTTACTGTGCTTTTGTAGACTTGCGTGACAAATAAAAACAATGTTCTATGTTCAAGCAGTGTAAACATTAGGCCACGCCATGCGTTTCCTACGGTGTCACTTACTAGAGAGATTTTGGGGGCAACCCCGATACAATAGACCCTTTGCGAAATTCAGTCTGGCCACTTTGATCACAATCATCATCTGTGGAACGGCATCTGTGCCATACCAATGGCCGCCTTCTAGTGAGTGATAAAGGAAGACGTTAAAGATGCTCCTAGGTGGATGATGCGAGGCCTGTACGTTCGAGGGGTCAGTTCGACACGACATAGGAATGGAACACAAGAGCTACGTAAGCCTTTATTTCTACTAACTCAGTTTCAGTCAATCTGCGGGCGGCACACAATCGGCTTTAAAGCACTTCGGTGTATAGAATTTTCTCGAGGCATCTGAATGGGTTTGAGCTTTGTTCTAGATAGGGGTGTCGCGAACCGGCCGCGGTTCGAGTTCGACCAGGTTCGCCTTTTTCGAACTTTTAGTGCAAAGTTCGACGAACCTTCTATTGAGGTTCGACTCGTGTGCGCATGCGCGACAGGCTGACCAGTTGGCTTCGGATTGGATGATAATGGCTAAGAGATGAATTAAGTGCAGCGCTGATTGGCTATTTCAGTTAATACAGTACTAAAAATAAAGTGATTAACTTCTTCATTAGAATTAGTTTCTTTTAATAGCATGGTGTTCACAATATAAAATAACGCTTTGCATAAAAAAAAAACATTTTCGAAACCTAGACATGCTTGTATAAAAGTCTGGCCACACTGTCCACAAAGTCGAACCGGTCGAATCTGGTGAAAAGTACGAAGGTTCGTCGAACCGGTTCGACCCAGTCGAACCCCGAAAATCGACCAAAAACTCTGGTTCGACAAAAGTTCGCGACACCCCTAGTTCTAGATGCAGGTTCTTGGTCACCATCGAACTGAAAGTGATCGAGAAAGAACTCACACTGTACAATTCCTCGCGTGCCTTTGACTAGCAAAAGTGATGGTGCCGATACAAGGTCATTTCCCCCATTAATATGGCAAAACCTAAACTGCTTTACGAACCCCCAGATGGCACTGAATTTCGGAAAGGGTCTATTGGGCCGACATTGCCAAACAACGTGCTGAGACTATATTCAAACTCGCTTACGTCGATTCAATAAAAAACAAGCACTGTTATTTTACTTGCAGAACAGCGTAAAGACGGCGGAAAATGGTGCGAAATTATTCGGGGGAATCATTTGACCCTCATGTTTCTATATTAATAATAAGAGGTAAATGAGCACGGCCTGCCGGCACGCATAGTTTGGGCTTTTTCCTTACAGAGCCAAGCGGTGGCGCCAGCAACCGCCCGATTGAAAAGGCTAAACCGTATGCATTCATCCGACCCTACTGAGGTTAACGTATGCGCGGGGCCTCTTGGCGCCTTCTTTATGCGGAAAAGGTAAATTTATACAACTATAGATCATAACCCCTTATTTCTTACAACACATTCATGATGATGATAATGATTAAGGGATTCCTTCTACAAGAACGGCAAAAACTACATTTCGCCATGCTAATATTAATATAAAAAAAATCAATGTCCGATTAAAAGAAAAGAAAAGAGGGGATGTTGGCGGCTGACGTTGTTAGCGAACCGCGCACGGAAGCACGTGGAATGAATGCTTGCGTTGCAGAACCCAGGAAGGCGCCATCCTCGCCTCTGCCCTTTCAATGTGGATGACTATCGTACCGGCGCGCGTTCATGCAATCACTACTCCGTGATGCACGTTAAGGGTCGCAGGTCAACGGTCGCGCTACACTAGCAAAACACTTTTCATCTACAGTGTAGACATCTGACGCCGCCTGAGAAAGACTAACAACCCACGGGCGCAACATCGATACATCAAATGTGACCTTTGGTGTTCCTTAGACCGCCGTGAAGAAAGAACAACAAAAGAGGCCATACATATACATAGTAACAACTGTACAGCCGATGAAAAAGGTCAGCGTCAAGCAGAATGACTGGAGAGTATTAAGTATTGCCCGTCAAACAAGAACACAAAGCCAACTAGAAAGCGGTCTCTAAAACTTTCAGGAAACGCGACGTAACTGCAGCTAGATAACGCTTATGTATATCCCCGCACTTGTCCAAGATCCAGCGACGCAATATGTCGGCACACCCAGGCCGCATGTCGTCGGGTCGTTGACTCCTCTAAAATGTTTTGCATCTCCTAAAAAAATAAACACAAGACGCGCATGCGTTGCGCACATAACACGGAGATATCACTCCGCCATAATCGCGTTATGCCCGCCGCAATCTTTGTTTACTGGACTGTGAGACGTGTTCCGAGCATGCGCAGTCCCTCTTTTCTGCAGAGCATGAGACACTGCGCACACGTGAACAGCTTAGTGCCTCAGCCTGTTTGGCCTGACAGGAAGGACACGTAAAGACGACTACCAGCAACGCACGATCAACGTCAGCGATGGATACCGATCAAGGGAAAAACTCTGATCCGAGGGAGATATGGCCAGCCGAGGACTGCGCCAAAACGGGGCAACTTACACTTGGATTCACGTGGTACACTAGTCTCGGAGACCACGGCCAGGAGATGTGGCGATTCATCATGACCTTGAAAGCAGACTGCAGCGAGGCGACCACCGTGGCCCCTTTGTTATCTTGCTCGGAGGTTGACGGCGGCTTTTCCGGCATATCCATACTTGGTTCTCACCCCTCCCCTCCACGAAACACAGAGGGCACGATTAACCACCAGCACCGTAATCCTCGCAGGTCTGGGATTCCTCGATGAATCAGGCGCGCGATCACGGGTCTCGCTCGACGTCTTCACTTGTGCAACGGTTAGTGTCAGCAACAGACTCACACGAGCCTTCCGAACAACTCGCAACCAGGTCGCGTCCGACAACCCGTCGTTTTCGGCCACCTCTGTCACGGTTCGTGCTCCCTATTTCTCGTGCTTTTCAGGTGAACTATAATCACCGAGCGGCGGATCACAGACGTGGCACAAGACACCCAGCGTTCTCCCGAGGAGTTCACGACACCGGCAATCCGCAAAAAGTGCAACGCGTCGAACTTCCCCGAGCCACTTGTGTGCAAAGCAGCAGTCGATATCTATCGCCGCCGACGTCACAGCTGTATATCGCTAACATGGAATGTGCACTGGTCAAAGACTCATTGTCTGTATGCACCGAACGCGACGGCCACTCGGAGAGAAATCTTATCCACTCTGGTAGTTAAGATAGGCAGATGGCCGAAGTGACCTACACTCGCCAATGAAACAAAGGGATTGCCAGCACGACGGAAGCTCAGAAGCAACCAGCTCAATGATGTCCGCACGGGCTGCACACGGCACTGTTTGAAGATGCATCAGCCGGACATCAGTCGGCTCACACGAAGACGAAGTCGGTGTCGTCGTTGTGTCCGAGGCGTCCAGGAAATCAGCGGACTCACGGAGCCTTCGAGCGACTCGCCGATACGGCGCACGTGCCTGTGCGTCCCTTCGCGTAGACTGCCGTCGCCTTTGCGTGACCGATGACGTCCGCTGCCTCCGATATGGTGTCAGACTTTAGGACCTCCTCGCGCGAGGCAGCGCGCGCACGGGCTGTCGCATCGGTATGAGAGAGTGCCGCGGTCGGTGTATCAAGCATCAAGCGCGGCGGCGCCCAGTTGTGTTGTACGGTTTGCCGGCAGGCAGGCGCAACAGCCGCACGCAGCAAGCGAGCGCGGCAGCGAAACCAAAGGACATACGAAAGAGAGGAAGGGATGTGAGGAAAGGGAAAGAGAGGAATAAAAAACAAAATGCCGCAGCCGCTTCTATGCAAGCTTCGGAGAGCGAAATCTAAAACTGCGCGGCCTGGCGTGTCAGCTAGAGAAAAAAAAAAAAAAAAAAAAAAACTCTACAAAGTGGAGCGATGCGTCGAAAAACACCTGCTTCTAGCCGGCAAACAGACAATGCCCTCACATTTTCTCTGTAAAAGCACCGTCTCCTCTGACGTTTACGGTCTTTGCCATTCAATCAATCCAATCTCCCAAGACTGAAGGTTCCATACACGCGCAGTATGGACGAGTAGACTGATAAGAGCAATGACGTAAACGAGAGGCTAAAGCAAGCAAGATCACACACAATGGCGATAAGAAGACCGTCGAGAAAAGTTTCTTTGTTTACTGTGAGTGGCAACCTCACGACGCGTCTTTTGAGCTCGTTCTCGAGTATTTCTTCGAGTCAACCACGGTCCGGAAGACGAAGACTCCGTCCCGAACTTAGAGCCCCTGACAGCCGGTGTTTGCGGCTAACGTGTTAATAGTAACGTCGTTACCGGTAACCCGTTAAAGTTTTCAGTAACGTAGTAACCTTCTCGCTACTCTTTCAAAACAGAAAGGGGTAACGTACTCACGTTACTTATTTCAATTAACGTGCAATGTAGTTACTATTTGGAGGTGTACTGCGCAGCGAAGTTAGACTGAACGCGTAAACACGTAAACTATTAGGCGGTATGGTAGATAGAAAATAACATGACGTACATATGAAACCGCGGAAAAATAATGTATTTACGTTACTTGTTACATTTTCTTCCCAAGACCTAAAAAGGGTAAGCTTAATTTTTGTTTCGTGTTTCTAAATTTCGTTTACCTTACGTCCAGACGCACCATCACGGCCGTGTTCGCCGCGTTTATGTACGTGTTCTGTCAACGCAGAACCAATCATAAACTGAAAAGGTCCAACAACTTGCTCTTTTAACGCTGCCTGATTGGCCCCATTAGCTCGTAGCGTCTGCTGCGTCTGGACTTAAGCTGGAACGAAGTTTATGCGCCAAGTCATTAAGGATCGCACTCATTTCACATATCTTTAAAGTTTTGCCGTTTACCGACGCAAGAAGTTCCACTTAAAAAAAACAAAAAAACACCCACGTTCACTGCTCCAATGTAAACAAAACGCTGTCGCAAAAAGACAAAAAAAAATAAAAGAAAAGAAGACGCTTTTACCGTCAATTCATCAATAAAAAGTAACGCGAGTAACGTGAGTTACTTTTTATCAGTAACGGCAACGCGTTTTTTTACTTAAAGCGGGCTATCTTTCGGTGTTTCTGAAAAATAGCAAATCATGCCAAAACGAGGGGTGGGTTGTCTTTTGGACGTGGGGCATCCCTAGGGATATTACGGTAGCTGCGGAGCGATAACAACCTGTTCGACACTTACCATGCCTCGTGTGTTTTAAGCTGTAAATGATTAACGATTATGTCTGTAGAAACCTTGATAAGCGATTACAACTCCATCCGGACGCATCGCTGTGGTCAGTGACCTTATACCTCTTCCCTCCCCTTTAAGGTGACAACCCTGGATGAACAAATGGCTGAACCAATCCTCAGGCACCGTCCTTCTATCGGAGCCATAAACATCGCTAGCACGTGATCATACACACACACGCATGCACGCACACACGCACGCACGCACGCACGCATACACACACGCACCAAAAACGAAGGCAGTCAAGCAAACAACAAAAACTTCCCGCGGAGACGGCAAGCTGAATGGCGAATTGCACAAAGTTCAGTCAGTCACGGGACAAGCCTGCCGATTGCGCAAAACCAACACAGCGGTCACAAGACTGCCCGTTATCGACGGCCGCTTATCTGGAAGGGAAGCCGATACGCTCGAAACAATAAAACAACCGAAGCGGAGAATGCGCCGGTGGGCGTGTTATCGAGTCGGTACGTATCTTGCTCGCGTGATTTTGCGCTGCAGGTTGCATATTTCTACCGGCACAAGGAGAGCGAACGACTGCACCGTTTTTTTTCGGGCAGCCGCCAACTTCTCCAGCCATATATAATACATGGCGAGAAAGCGTTTCAATGTGGGTCTCTTGCGCATCGGAAATGCGAGGAGGGCACGCCAACCAAAGGGCAACATAGAGACCGCGCAGGCAACGCGCGATGACAAGGCGGCCAAGCGAGCGCACTCACTGGTTCAGGTCGGGAGCAATTCAATGCACGCTGGTGCCTTTGGAGGGTAAACAGCGTGACCTTGGTTTTAAAAACCAAGGTCACGCTGCCTGAACATCATACAAAATGCACAACAAATATTTAAAGAAATGGAAACCACAGAGATGTGAGGTTGCTAAGCATTAAAACATGTGGCAAGTGCAGCTCTGAACCCCGATGATTCCTGAATATTGACAATATTTTCTGGAAGCGTATTCCAACCTGAAATATGTCCAGGACACATTCTGTAACATTGCTAATACATTGTGCTAGAATGCCTGAACACAGGAATGATATATGAGCTGTGGGACCGGTACTTTATATAGAAACCTTTCTGCTGGCCGTTGGAACGTATAAGATATTTCAAACTGGAGAAAAGTGTATGGAAGTCGCTACGACCCACCGAGAAGCTTCCGTGACCGGATGGCAAGAGTCGATTAAGAACGGCACATTTCCGTTGAAGTCTAGGAACACTGGGCACGAGGCCTCGTGTTTTCCGATGACTCCGATCGCTCCTGTGGTATCCCTTTACTAAAGCGAACTCGTAGCGGTCTCGACACGCGAATGGAAGGAAATATCGCTTATTTTCGGTTTGTTACGTTAGTTATTGATGTCTTTCTTGTATGCGTGTGCGTTCTGCGAACGCCTATGAATCAATCAAAACCGCCCCATATTTCAAGGGTGGGGCAATAAACCTTCCCATTATGTGTGATTTGTGGGAATTTTCATATAAGGCGTTCAAAAGGACAACGAACAACCGGAATGGGGGTTTTCCAAGCAGTCCCTTATTTCCTCGAGGGCACGGAACTCTCATCGTGGCTTTAAACCCGACTGCCAGGCACCAGCCCTTCTCCTCCTCCTCTCAAGCACTTTTGGTTCCCTTCTCCCAAGCGGAACGAGAAATATGACCCCACAGAAAGAGGTTGAACCTCTCGTTCCGAATTTCCCCACTTCCTTCGTTATTTTCTTAATAAACTCACTAAATCACTCAAATATTCCCGAGAGAAAAATCCCTATCACGATCAGACAGACCCTTTTGCAAGCACCTCTCACGTGGCAATACTTTCCCACAGCGCTCAGCACTACGATCTGTGCACAAATAAAGTTCACGCCATTACAAGGCTCCCAAGAAAAAGAACAAGAAAAAAAAGAAGACATTATTGTACACTGACGTCCGCTAGTGATTACTTCGAATATGACGTAACAATGTGAGATGCCAGTTTTATGTAACAACGGAAGCCTGTACTTCTCTTGCAGTTATGATTGTGAATCATTGCGCCTTTATGGCCTCGCCCTTCCCAGCGAAGTGAGGGTCACACCATATGCGCTGAAGTGCCCGTGAAAAGCTCCTTTGTACAGGGCGCTATTTGAACACTATTGGGGCGAAACAAAAATTCGTAGAAATAAGCAGGTGAACCGAGTAAGCAAAAAGCGCCGAAAAAATACAGGGACACAGAAGAAGGGAAACAGGACAAGTGTCCGAAACGTTTTCACAAAACAATTTTATGTGGGGCATTCATCATACATACTCAAGTATAAGTCTCTAAGAAAAAAATATGCAAAAAAAAAAGGAAATGTTTTTTATCCGCAAACGCATAAAACGGCAAACGGAAACAAACCGTCGGCTGACCTTGCTACTCACATGTCGTACTACACTGCTTACAAAACACACTCTGCCTACAGATTTAAACGCGAGTCACCGCGAGATTCGAATTCCGCACGGCAGTGAGTTCCAGAAGAAATTTGGCACGCGGCATCTGAATCACACAGGTATTTCTGTGACTCGTGTTTTCATACTGTCTTCTCTATGATGTATGAGCAGTGTTACCCCGACGGAATCACACTGCTCAAACACCATACAAACAAATCACAAAAGAGTGCAACAGTCTAGATGATGATATGCATTTTTTTATCTAAAATAAGCACTCAAAAACAAATAGTCGTCCTGTAATTCACAGCATTTAGAACCCGTTCGCTTAGGACCGCCGAAAACCGCAGCCTGTTGCACGCATTACTCACCGCAACGAACGGACTGTCTGTGGACTGGCGCTTGAACTGCCGGTCAGCGGCTGTGTAATGGGGAGTGAGTATACGGAGTGCAAGTTCGTCTGCTTCTTTTGCAGGGGTTGCGGTGACGTCAGAATGCCGAACTCTGATTGGCTTTGATTGAAAGGGAGTGGGTAGGCCTCAAAGCAAACTGCCTTGAGATCTACACACTATCCTCCAATCAGAGCCAATAAGAGCTCGGCGTTGTGACGTCACCGCAACCCCTGCAAAATAAGCAGACGAACTTGCGCTCCCCATAGCTTATTGTCGGTGCCAGCCCCGGCGCTTTCATTTCGGAGCCGCGTTCCCTGAACCTCTCTTTTCGGTTCGACCCAGCCGCACCTGCCATTGTCGCGCTTCTGCGCCGTTCGGGTGGTACAAAAAGCAGCGCCTTCATAGAACATGTAGTCGGCTTCGTTGCCGCCGAGCGCATGCTCAGGAAGATGGTATATATCCTATTTACTCGAGTAATAGCCGCCCTATTTATGAACAAGGCCCTTCCGTCTACTTTCCCACATAACACATATACAGCCAATCATTGCGTTGCGCATAAATAACACAGCGAATAACTAGATCGAGAACAGGCGAGATCGCGCGAAGACGTTATCTCTGCCCTGTAAACCGCTCGAATCATGCTGTAAATCGCGGTGATTGGCAAGCCGCGTGCTCCGCGGAGAGGCAAC